CAGTGTATCCCCATACTATGGACACCCGAAGCAGCTTCCGTGCAAACATGCAATACCACAAGCCGCCTCCAGCCACACAACATTACTAAAAATGTCCCCACAGACATGCAACACCACAAATGGTACACCTACCAACTTGCAATACCACAAGCTGTCTCATCACACATGCTGACACACAACACCCAGACATCTTACCCCTTCCCCTACACACGCAACACCACAAGTAGTCACCACCACACATGCAACCCCACAAACAAGCCTCCAAATGCATGCAATACCGCAGGCAGCCTCCACACACACTAAGCAACCTCTCCCAGCCCTGTTTTTCTTTTGTCCTAAGGTGTATCAGCAGCAAACACAGATCAAACATTCATTAAAATTTGTTTGCACTGTGATAAACAAACACAGTATTTTTCCGTTCTTCTGTAGGTCTTTTCTGAATTGATATTCCCACTTTGCAGGTGCATGCGCGTCAACGGTGATGATAACATGCTCCCTCCATTTTGTTGCTGTAACTTTAAATGCACTGTGGAATTTTTGTCCAGTCTGGCCCAGTGCAAAGCTTTAGTACTATTATTTAACATGAAGGACAAATGCAATCCTGTTTAATGGCTTATGCAAATATCGCTGTAACTTGCTATTTTAGATGGCTCACGTGCTGATTAGCAGCCAGAATGCTGACTAATTAGGGTGGGCCATAATGATACCATTTAGTGCAGTATATGATTTGGCTTAACGTGTTCTCCCACAGCTTTTAAGTACATATGCAAACAACTCTCCTCTAGCTAGTGTAAGAGCCTTGTATGTTAATTGTAGTCAAAATACTAATTAGTAGTCGGTGCCGTTTAGTACAATGTGTTGATAAATTCTATTAAAGTAAATACGGTATATAATTAAATTTTGCAGAATAAATGATAATCTACTCAGTATTGACATATTTTTGACAGATGTAGAATGGATTCTAACTTTAACAGTTATCGCATAGTGGATGACAACCAACACAGGGTACATTTCAAATTTCGGCTGTTTGGTTTTATTTCTTAAAATGCATGCTGAATTGACAACAAAACTGTAAATCTGAGCCAATCTAGTCTTCAACCCCTCTTTATGTGTTTATTGCCTGTGTGGTCTCAAAGCTTTAAAGCTGATGGCATTAATGACATAAAAGGAAAGTTACCTTTATTTATTAACACTGAAAATAAAAGATGACTTTGATATATCATTGGTGTGTATCATTTTAGAGCTGATGGCATTAATGACATAAAAGGAAAGTTACCTTTATTTATTAACACTGAAAATAAAAGATGACTTTGATATATCATTGGTGTGTATCATTTTGTAATGAATACATATGCAGGGCTCAAAACTTCAAACCCTTCTTTTCTAGCCAGGCCACAAAGTGAGTCGCCACTGCAAGCTTGGATGGTCCATGGCACACTCACTAGAAGTGAATTTGTACTCACCAGGACTGAATTTTGCCCGTCAAAGGCTAGTGGGCTTCTGATCCCTACAGTAGCGTAACTACCGGGGGGGAAGGGGTCATGGTGCGGCTGCCCCGGGCACAAAAATGGCAGAATGGGTGCCGAGAGAAGCATGCCAATTACTGTCACAGAGGGCCAAGGAGATGGTCGGCTGGCCACCTTAGGGCTCTTCTGCTGTGATGCCGTGCTGTGATGCCAGGAGCCTAAATATGATATCACTCCTGCCCCTGGCATCACTAAACAGCACTCAAGGGAGCAGTGACGAACTGGAAGATTACAGGAACCACTGGACTTTAGGGTGAAGATCCCACTGGATCCCATTTAGAGGACCCACATCACCTCTCCCAATGCTAGGGAGGCTGGATGGTCATAAAAAATTTTTTTTTAAAAATCCACGGTGTTGGGCTTGACCACTATGCTGAATGGAGACATGGAGAGAGAGCTCCTCACTAAGTACTTGATAACAAGCCTACATTTGTGTTGCCCGACAGAATGGTGGTGAACCTAGTGTGGTCCCAACTGGGAGTGGTGAACAAACTCAGTGGCGGAGTTGCACTGGCTGGAAAGGCGGAAAGTCTTGTGTCTCCACTCCCACCCCTCTGGTGGTTATCCCGGTCCTTGCTACCGCAACATTTGATGCTCCTGAGTCACTTACCTGTGCTGATTCCTGCTCACAGCTTCAGTAAACACCTGCACGCACTGAGTAGCACCAGATGGCAGGGGCACCTACTGCTCAAGTGAGCGCCACTATGCAGCTCCATGGCTCCATAGAGCAATACCTGCAACAACTGGATGCAATCTTCTCCCATTTCTGGGCAGGGCTGGAGCACCGCAAGACAACAACCTTGTAGCTGCTTCAGGAGGGAGACTGGAGGTTCAGCACCAGGTAGTGAGCAGATCTCCTTTGAGCATAGCTTTTCCTGAGAAAATTCACGTTTCCTCTAACGCTAACCCACCTGTATCGGGGGCTGCCAGAGGCATGACCCCAAGGTATTGCCCACATAGACAGAAGGCAGTCTGCTGCTGGCACTGCAAGACCATAAGATCCTTCTGTTTCCCCAGATGTGGGAAGGACTGGGACTCTCAGAGCCTCTGAGTCCGCAGCTTAAAGATGCTGGCTTCCATTAGGGCCTGGAGCTGAAGGGAATTTCCACCTCGCTTCCACTATGCCGCTACCCTCACCGACCTCCTCATAATGACTGTGCACATCCCAAGAATGGGAAATGGTTGAATGCCAACAAGCTACTTGGTGCTACTCGACAGTATGCATCGAGAGCCATCCTATTATCTGCAGCTGCCACCCTGCCCTTGTTGGGCTTATGTAGCCATATTATGTTAATTGTTACTGTGTTTTTTCTTTTTATTTGCCTTTCATTTTCGGATGTTCTTTTATACCTATCTCTCTCGTCCTGTATGGTGCAGGGTTCTAATAGTGAGACAGGTTTCAGTGACCAAGTAGTCATGGCCACTTACCAAGTTGTTTGGCACTATTAATCGATTATCAACCACTTGTCCAACTGACTCCTTACATATAAGAGTTATGCTCATGACTCCTGTCTAGACTCCTTTTACTGACCTAACTCTGTTTAATATACGTATTGACCATTGGTTGGACATGACTGTTTAGCCTGACAATATTTTTCAACGTTTGAGGCTTTGCCATGTATTGTACTCATTCCTGCTTATTTTGCTATTTGTATTGCTCACAGTGTGGTGTTAACAGTTTGTTTGTTTTTAAATTTCTAAAATGGTGCAGACCCTTCCATATTCCCTTATTGTGATCAACATGTAGCTAATGTATTGTCATTTCTAGCATGATATGTAACAAAGGCACCACACAAAAAAAGAATGTGAAGTAAATAAATAAATAAAACCACAATAAAATAAACAAAAATTGTGAGTGTGTGTGTCTGTAAATGTCTGTGAGTGTGTCAGTGTAGGTGAGTGTGTCTGTCAGTGAGTGTGTTTCAAATCAGTGAGAGTGTGTGTCTGTCATTGAGAAGTGTGTCATAGGGATCGACCGATATTGATTTTTTTAGAGCCGATACCGATAATCTGTGAACTTTCAGACCGATAGCCGATAACTTGCCGATATTCTGTACATTTACCATTTTGAAAAAATAAACTAATCCTGAAGGTAAATGCACAAAATATACATGCCACATGTAGTGGATGAAGTGTGTTTAGACAGGGGAGCTGTGTGTGTGTGTAGTGTGTATATATAGTGAATGCAGAGTGTGTTTGTGTAGTGTGTATAGTGAATGCAGTGAGTATTTGTGTAGTGTGTATATGTAGTGAATGCAGTGTGTGTGTTTGTGTAGTTTGTGTATACTGAATGCAGTGTGTGTATACTGAATGCAGTGTGTTTGTGTAGTGTGTATAGTGAATGCATTGTGTGTATATAATGCATTGTGTGTTTGTGTAATGTGTATGTAATGCAGTGTGTGTTTGTGTAGTATGTGTGTGTATGTAATGCAGTGTGTGTTTGTGTAGTGTGTGTGTGTGTATGTAATGCTGTGTGTATTTGTGTAGTGTGTGTGTATGTAATGCAGTGTGTGTGTGTGTGTTTTTGTAGTGATGTAATTTGTGTAAAATGGGGGGGGCATTTTTTTATTTTAATTTTTTTTTTAAATATATTTAAATTGTGGTTTTTTTTAGTCCCCCCCCCCCTGCTTCTTACCAGGGAGGGGGGATATAGTATTCCCTGTTGGTCCGGTGGCTTGTTAAGTACTGGGGGGGCCGGCAGGAATCTGTTTCTTACCTTGCCAGCAGCTCCTCCAGCTCCCCAGAATAAATCTTGCGCCCCTTAGTGCCGCACGGAGTGTTGCCATGGTAACCCGTGGAAACGTTCTGCGGCTGCGGGTCTCGCGAGATTTAGACATGGAGCTGCAGGAGCTGCTGGCAAGGTAAGAAACAGCTCCCTGTCGGTCCCCCCCAGGACCGCCGGGCTTGTAATGAGCCTGGCAGTCCTAGGAGGTATTATCGGCAATATCGGTGTCTATATTTGCCGATACCGATATTGCCGAAAATACCAAATATCGGCCGATTATATCGGTAAAACCGATAATCGGTCAATCCCTAGTGTGTCAGTATGTCTGTCAGTGAGAAATTGGTGTGCCTGTTAATTAGTCTGTTTCAAATCAGTGGGATTTTGTCTGTCATTGAGTGTGTGTGTCAGTGTAAATGAATGTTTGTGTATAAGTCAGTGTGTTTCAGTGTGCCTGTGTATGTGCACCCAGCAATCAAACTCCAACTGTGCGTACAAACACATTCAAACACAAACACTAAGCACAAGTACACTACTGCTTTCAAATAGCAACAGTGCATACAACTGCATTCAAATGCCAACACACATACATACAGTCAAACATACAAAACACACTTACATTTGTCACCAGTTTATTTTTTTCTATTGCAATAAGATATATATACAATCATAAAAATTCATAAAAATCAAAATGCTAAATAATGTAGTCTTACATGTGTTGAATTAGTCTTTCAATCAGAAGGACAGGGTGGATGGGGGCTGGGGTGGTACATGGGGGGCCCAAAATGTTGTTCTGCCCCAGGCGGGTTACACCGTTGGATATAAGTTAAGTACACTTTACCTTTGCTCCATGTGGAGCGGCCATCTTTATTAATCTTTGTCCAAAAGCACCATTTATCTGCTAAAACCATACTCAATTTGAAAGGCTGAAACCTTATCAGAGTATATTTTTTACATTCCCAACACTTGCACATGATGTCAGAATTCATGAAAAAACACTAAGTTATGAATACGTGCAAAATGTCAAGATGTTATCTGCTTTCGTTTATTAAGCTGTGCATCTGATCAGAAAGGACTTTAAGATGGCTGCTTCCATGGTCTAAGGGTTAGCTTTGTTTTACAAAGAGAGGAAGTATTTACTTGTATGTATGTTTTGCAAAATATTAAACACAGGCTATATTACTTGTAATCTTTTATTTTAAATAATAAAAAAAAAAAATAT